AGAGAGAGAGAGAGAGAGAGAGAGAGAGAGAGAGAGAGAGAGGTTCCCAAACAATAGATATTAAATAACAAAAGTATGTTTGTGTGCATCCACCCAGAGTGCAACTGTTCCAGCCCAGGTTCCCAGTCTCCTGTCTGTGACCAGGTCAGCGGTCAGTGTGTGTGTGCTGACCACGTCGTCGGGCGCGTGTGCGACCAGTGCCAGGAGAACTACCATAATCTGACCATCACCGGATGTATAAGTAGGCTACGTCTTTTCACTCTGAAATGTCTCAATGGTGTTTTAACTTGTGTTTCTGATTCCATTTTTTTTCTTCGGGAAGGGGAGATGAAGATGAAGAGGGTTGGGTTTGTTTATTTTCTTTATTCTGGCATATGATGTGTTTGTTTATATAATACTAGCTGGGACCCCTTTCGATGAAAGGAATGATCGGTGCATTAACATCAGCTGAAAGTCATTGGCCTACTATATTTACACTCTACTTGAATGGAGCAATCAATTTTGAGAGATGCAAAAAATTAGAAGGTCTAGATCTAGATCTATACTTTCAAAACAAAAAGCCTTTTGAATAGCAAAACTCGGTCACCACAAATAGATAATAGATATATTTATTTTTTTTGGAGGGAAGGGGGTTTAATGTGTTACGTGTTAGTTTCTATCACATTTAGCCGGAGAAGGGGAGGGGGAGGCAGTTTGTGGATTTTTAAAACAATTTTTTTTCTTTATTTCTTGATGTGATCATATTTTCTCTTAGTGGTCAGAAGGCAGATGGTTTCTAAGCCTACCAATAACGTCTCTGCACACAAGAAGTTTTACCAAACCATTTCAGCTTTCCGAACTAATGTTCTAAAGACATATATTGTTTTCTAGGCGTCTTCTTTTTGTTTTTCAGCCTTATTTCTTTCTTCCTTTCTTCTGCTGGTTTTTGTTTAATCTGTTCAAGTGTCCAGAGTTTTTACCCCTATGATATCAATAGAGTGGTTAGTTAGTGGGTGAAGTTTTACTAAAAATGTCTGAGTGGGTGGTCTAGTGAGTGCTCTGGTGTGGTTTGCTCCTTCTTTCCCAACAAACACCTATCCTTATTATCTCTCCTTGTTTTCTTTGTATTCTAATCTCTAGTAAAGCCTATAATTTCTAACACTTACAGGGCCTATTTGTGTCAGAAGTTCTGTAAAACTCTAACTAAAACAAAAATAAAGGAAGTCTGAGGATATCAGTGACACCTTTAAACACTGGTTCTCTGAGGGGAATAAATATACAGTATAACATGGATAGGTTGAACAGAGAAGACTTGAAATCATGCCTCCGTCAAACTGTGCCTGCGGTTCCGTTTTTTCTCCTTCTTTATCTTTGTAAGATATCTCTCTAACTAGTTCTACGGATCCCTCAAACTTCCGGGGCTGGTCCTGACAAATTCGAGCTATCCATGTTATACTCTAATAAATCTTTGAGCAAGACATCCTGGTCGCTGAGTAAAAACTGGGCTCTGTACTATAGCAACCAGCAGCAGTGTAGCCCAGTTTGAAATTTATTATACTCCTCACAATTGTTTTTTCCTTTTATCATAGAGCAAATGAAATGATATATGATATCATAGGAGAGACCAGGGAAGATGGAAGCTTGTTGTAGCTAGGAGAGGGGAACCAACTAGCGAACAGGTCACAGGTTGTATAAGATAGTCTAAAGCAAATCTCCATTCTTTTCCTTACTGCTTCTCCTTCACTTTTGATAGTAGATACTTCAAATCTCGTCTTTGAATTATTTATGGCAGTTTTCATTACTAACTAAAAAAAACCAAAATTTCTTTTCCAGAATGTGAAACGTGCTACGACGAGGTTGTTAATGCCATTACTCCCCTGCGCTCACTACGTGACGACATTTCCGCCAATGTTACGGTCGTTGAGAGCCAGTATGACGCAAGTGTCTCTCCGGTTTTCATAGAAAGACTGCGGGTTGCCACCGCTGACACAGAGAAGCTGATTAACTTTGTGAGTTTTGATTCTATTTTTGTGTCTTTATTGAACTTTGATACTCTAACTTAAGATGGAAACCATAGAAACATAGAAAGGGGCATGCTCAGATAAAGGTGGATAGAGGATGTTTGAGAGACATTAGTCAAGAACAACATATGATGCATGTGGAATAATGTACATTACATAACTCTTCTGTTATAACTGTTAGGTAAAGTATCGGGATTTAGACAGTACCTTTCTTCTACTCAGTAGTCACTTTTCGGTTACAGTTTACTACAAGACAAAAATAAAACAAAGAGCCTTTTCAGACGTGCGTTTCTTCACTCTCTCTATGTCTGTTTGTACCCACAAACCGAACAATATTACAATGCACATAACGGGCGCTACAACAAACAAGTAAAAGATGTTTGCTTTTCCCCTCGACACCACAAGGTAACAGAGGTTGGACATGGTAAAAGGTTGTTAAAAGTAAAGTAAGATATTCCCACTAGAAGTAAAAATGGTTATGTGGAAGGGGGAACCTTTGATTTCCCTAGCCGGGACTTTGGGTTGAGAGAAACATTTGAGCTGGAAAGATAACAAGATGCTACCACCTGTGCTGAAAAACTGGTTTTGTGAATGTTTTACGAAATGTTACTAGACACTAAGCAGGACATTGCAGGGAAAACTGGTGAGATCTTTTTCTTCCATTTCTTTTTAATATAGCATTATTGTTGTCATTGCGGTTAGTAATGGATTGCTACTAGACTGAATTCTTCTTTTTCTCACGCTTCTTCTCTTCATTCTTCTTCCCCTTTCTCCCATTTCTCATGCCACCCCTCCCATTTTTTTTCGTACTCTTTTCACCCTCTTCCTTTTCCTGCTTTTTAATCTTTCTTCTCGTCTTCTCCCACTCTGCTTTAACTTTCATTTTCACTTTTCTTTTCTTTCACATTTGGCGGTTGGTGGGTGCTCTGGTGTGGTTTGCTCCTTCTTTCCTATCAAACGTCGATCGTCCTGATCTCTCCTCCTTTTTTGTGCATGTTACTCTCTTGTAACACCTCTAATATTCAGCACTTATCTAACCTTAATGTGTTGCAAGTGCAGTAAATCTCTACTAAAATTAAACTTTTCCTTCACAACTGTAATTAATCATTATCCAACACTAGTAACAACGGAAGAGGTTGGCATAATTCTCATCCGTTTATTTCTCTTGTCACTAGCTTACATCAGCGCAGGAGTCTGAGCTGGAAGTGGGTCGTCAGATCGGGTCCTTGAGTGCGACCTTGACCTCTGTGGAGACGCAGCTGTCAACCCTGGAGGGAAATAAAACCTCACAGCTCGAGGCAGGTTTAGCGGAGATTGAGGGCCATCTTCAACAAGCAAACACAGCGAGGGCGGGACTGGAGTCTCGGGTGACGACTGCCTCAACACAGCTAGGTGTGTGTAGGAGAGAGACATTGTTTGCTGTTTTTGTAAGGTTTTACGACGTTCGCTACTGCATAAGGTCATATGAGCACCATGGGGTGGATGTCAACAGAGAAGTCTAAGTGGGGAATCAGGCTTACTCTCCTCACCTCTCTAGCCTCAAAAGCACAAATTCTACTTCGACTATCAAGGCACCCCAGAAATAGCAGTTTACAAGAGAGTGACAAACATACAAAAGAAGTAGAGGACAAATGACGATAGTAAGGATGAGGAAAGAAAAAGCAGCTGTTCCCCATATGTTGTTCCAGCACAGTATGAGCATAACATTGATAAATCACCCTATTTAGAATTCTACTGTACATAAGAACATGTTAATGTCCCCACTTTGGGAATGGCCTAAAGACAACTTCAGATAGTAGCACTGCCCTGATAGGAGAAAGGGAAGTCTACATGGGTGGTTGGTGGGTGCTCTGGTGTGGTGTGCTCCTTCTTTCTTATCAAACATCTATCGTCCTTACCTCGTCTCCTTTTTTGTGTACGTTACTCTCTAGTTACACGTTTATTCTTTAGCTCTTATATGGCCTTATTGTGTTGCAAGTGCCGTAAAACTCTTACGAAAGAAAATAAAGGGAAAATTCTAGAACAGCTGAAGCTGCTCTAACTACTATCTGTGTCAAGACGTGGTGGGATCAGGCGCTCGTCAATTTTGGGGCATGTGGAGTTATTCACATCATCTGAAAGCTTATTCATTTGCCTTGTTTTTAGCGAAAAAAACATCCATCTAGCTTGAAAAGAAGTCGACATATTTGCCATTGAAGGAGGGATAGCCTGGTTTCAGTCATTAAATTAATGAGAAAATGGCCACCAAAGTTTGGTAACTTCAATAGCTTAAGGGTCCTTGAAAACTGAAAATTACATATTTTGTGCCTTAAAACAAGGTGTATCAGTAAAATTCACATGGAAATACGTTTTCATATGAACTGCAAAGGTGTTAAGCCAAAAAACAGATTTTCGATAAAAATTGCCAGACTGGTGGAAAAATGCCTTTTTCTTCAGTTTCATTATTTTGATGAGCGCCAGATTTCACTGTGATGCCTCACATCTGTCCAAGACTATAAACTGTATAAATGACCGCTTTTCATTTTATTCCTTGCATTTCTTCATGTCATAATGGCATTGTTCGACTAAGACAACCGCGTTTTTCTCCTCAACACTGGGAGAGCATCTGGACAATTTTGATTCTATACAAGTCGAGGCCAGACAGACTTTTGTAAGATCTGAATGAAGTGAAAATGCCCTCATCATTCTTCTCTGGTTTGGTTTCAATATCTGTACATTAACTCACTTGCGACTGGGCCCTTTCACCAGCCACAAGCGTTGAAGACTGGCGTTTTTGGGGGTATTTCAATAAATCACCACAACTCTCAGAATTATCCTATTGTAATCATTTTTTGACACAGTAAAGTAACATTCAAGCTTAATCTAGTACAAAAAACTAAAGTTGTCTAAGTCTAATACTTTAATTTGTATGATTTTTTAAAAGTTGGCATGAATT